ATATATATATATATATATATATATATATATTCAACCTTTATTTAGACTGGTTAATCCCATTGAGCCTCGAGGACTCATTTACAAGAGAGACCTGATTTCAACAATGAATGATGACAACAATGGGCAACAGTAGACAATTATAAAAAGACATACAGATTATTTTTTTTTTTTTTTTAAATAATATGGCAAAAAAACGAAACAAAAACAGCTAGATTATAAATTGAATGTAGAAAACTAAAAACAGGAACATGTCTGCATTGGTTTTTGCCAGGTGTCCAACAGATTCTTAAAGCCACTTAGAGAGGTCAGGTCTAGAGCACCAGATCTTTTTGTAAGATATTCCAGGAAACAGGAGCAGAGTAGGAGAAGGCCCTTTTGCCAAGTTCAGTCCACACTGAGGGAACACTGCAGGTAATAATGTCCTGAGAGCGCACGCTGTAGCTGCACTCACGCAGAGACATGTAGGAAGAGATGTATGAAGGCAGCAGACCAAGAAGAGATTTAAAGATGAAAATGTACCAGTGGGAGAGTCTGCGTGAAGTTAATGATGTCCAGTTAACCAGTGAATACAGGGTGCAGTGGTGGGTACGATAATCACAGCCCGTTATGAATCTTAGTGCACCATGATAGACAGCATCCAACATCTGCAGGGTTCTTGTAGGAGTGTTCATGTAAATAATGTCACCGTAATCAACGGAGGGAAGGAAAGTCACAGTTACAAGGTGTTTCCTAGCATTCAGGGTTAGACAGGATCTGTTTCTGAAAAAGAAACCCAGTTTAACTTTCAGTTTCTTTACCAAGTTTTCCACATGGAGCTTAAAAGAGATGCGAGTTGACCAAGATACCCAAATATTTATAGGAATCAACAAACTCAATCGGGACACCATTTGAGGATAAAATCAGAGGAAGAACTGCTGGGACCAACTTCCTGTTTGAAAAAATTATCCTTTTGGTTTTGTCGGCATTTAAGACAAGTTTGAGGTGGAACAAATCAGACTGGATGATGTCAAATGTGGATTGCAAAAGCTGGAAAGCCTTATCATCTGTTTTAGCTCGACAATAAGCAACTGTGTCATCAGCATAGAAATGTAAGGATGCATCAGGGATGCTCTGACTTACATTGCGTATGTAGATTGTAAAGAGGGTGGGTCCTAAGACTGAACCTTGTGGTACACGATTGTTGACTGTTAAATAACTGGAGGAAGTACCATTATGTTGAACACATTGCCTCAGATCTTAGAGATAGTTAGAGAACCAACCAATGGTGTGATCTGAGAAACCGATTTCTGAGAGTTTATGACACAAGATGTTATGATCCACAGTGTCAAAAGCTTTAGACAGGTCTAAGAAAAGTGCAGCACAATAATCCTTAGCATCCAGTGCTTCAACAATGTCATTAAGAACCTTCAATGAAGCAGTGGTTGTGCTGTGTTGTTTCCTGAAACCAGATTGATGTGGAGGTAAGATGTTAAATGAGTCCAGGTAATTTTTGATTTGAGAGTTTATCAGTTTTTCTAGAACCTTGGCTAAAATGCGGAGTTTAGAGATTGGTATTACCTAATGAGACACTTGGCTTGCCATATTACCTCTAGCGGTTGAAAATGGTAGTGTTCAATATTTTCCATGTCAGAATGAATGAAATCGTCAGATCTCAGCCAAAAATTAGATTATAAATATGGGAGGGAAAAAAACGTATATTAGTCGCTTCAGCATTTAAGTCGCAGGATTTGAAAATGTATGCATAAAGCTGTGACTTATACGGCGAAAAGTACAGTATACAAAAGCATGTCATTGGCATATAAAACAATGTTGTGCTCTGTACCTAATCAATTTATCCCTTTAATGATTGAGTTTTGCCGTAAAGGTACAGCTAGTGCTTCTTTTGCTAACGCAAATAGAAACGTGAGAGCGGGCACACCATCTTGTACCATGTTGCAATTCAAAGTAACTAGATTAGTGCAGACTGCTGTGCTTGGAGAGGTAAATATCAACCTCACACATGATATGAATTTGGGATCAAATTTAAATAGCATGAAAGCCTCAAAGAGATAATTTCACTCCAACTGGTCAAACGCCTTCTCAGCCTCCAGTGAGAGAATAATTTCATCACAGTTGTGACCGGGCAGGCTGGGAACGTACAACACACCAAACAGTCGCGTAACATTGAAGAAATCCTGACAATTTTTTACAAACCCCGTCTGGTCAGGTGGGACAATTGTGGGGACCACCTGCTCAAGTTGTTTTGCCAGGACCTTTGTAAGGATTTTTTAAATCATTTCCATCTTATATTACAGATCTTATAGTTCCATATTTTCCTAACAAAGCACTTCTGGGTGGGTTACTTGATTGGTTGATTGGGTGGTCGTTGGTATTCACATGCAGCCAAACAAAAGTGCTGGTAAATTCACACCTCATTCTCTTAATTCCTACGCATCAGTTGACATTTCATACCAAATGATTATCATTTTGCAGTGGTGTGAACAGCTAACCAAAAATTTAGCTTCGCTAACTGCTAATTCATTAACTAAAAAATTTGCTTTGCTAACGCTAAATCACTAAACAGAATTTAAAAAATAGCAGAAGCTAATGCTAAAAAGCTAACTTTATCATACACTGCTGATGCTGTCTGTGATGTGACAAAGTTGTAAGTGAACACAACTCAAAACCATTCATCAATCACAAGTAAAGCATCCATTTCCTGTTCAGCAGTGAGCTTTCAGAAATTAATCCAGTTTGTCAGAACCAGAGGCGTAACAGAACTCTGCTGTGTTGAAGCAAAGTGACGCATTCAATGTGTGTTTGACGTCTCCATTGTGTCATTTACTATAATGAATTAACTCTCGGTGGAGATTCTCTTTGTGGTTAACTACAACTATAAACTAAATACAAAGTTCAAAGGAAAGAGGTCTGTCTTCTACCAAATAGATAGCTGATTACAAACAAAATTAAAGAAATCTCCTATAAAATTATCCGTAAATCTATCCAGCTAAGATGTATGTTAAACTAGAGTCAAGAAATGGATATTAAATGTAGCTTTTTTTGGTATATTTCCTGAAACTGTTGTTCAACTCTTTTGGTATTGCCCATTTGTTAATTTATTTTGACAGAAATATGTGGCTTTATTCATAAAAACTTTGAAGAACGTTTTGTTTTATTGTAGGAGAATGTGTTATTTGGCTTCCGTGGAAATCATATACAAAAAAAACAATTCTGACTTCCTCATAAATCTTCCATTACTAATGTCAAAATATCACAACCATTGTATAATGTGGAAGAAAACCATGCCTTACCGTTTTTCTAAATTAGGTAATGCAATATATTCTGACAATTACAAAATCTGATTAAAAAGGCACTTAAGACCATTGCGATGTACTGTGTTGAATGTATTAGTAGAACCCTGACAACCCCCCCCCCCCCCCCCCAATATTATTTCTTTTGTCAACTGTTTTTTGGACAGTTTGGTATTTCTGTTACTGTTACTTAACAGAACTGGGATATTTTGATGTGTTGTCAAATGCTGACATTGTACTCTAATCACACCATAGTTATAGTTTGTTCAAAATTAAAATGCTCTGCATAGCATCACAGTGCTCCGTCTCGTCTAGAATACCATTCTCCTGTATGATTTTATTAAAAAGAACTGTCTTTTTTTTTATTATTAATCAGCAGACTTGACCAGATTTAAATTTAGCAGAAGCTAATTCTGCTAAATGGAAAGTTAGATCCACTATTAGTGGATTAGTTGAACCGTGCCCATCACTGTAACTGTTAACAATTCATACCAATAGGGTACAAAACTGTTACCATTTTGCACCCATGCATTTCCCATAAGTATGCTCACATGCACTGATTAATTATTATGGTCAGCAGCTCCATATAGTAATGTACAGGATCAAGCTGTGCTTTATTTTATAGTCAACATTATTATTTACTATGGGCCCCTAAATGGTGGACTGAGGTCTGGATCCAGACCCAAATACCTTGACCACAGATTTTTTTTTAAACTTAAGAGCTTTTTTGTTGTTGTTGCATTTATGATAATTCATTTTAGGGCATGCAGTTTTTCTAGAGTTTGTGATCTAAAATATTTGTAGTAATAGTTGAGAGATTCTCAGTACATACATACGTTGAGACCACAGAAAATAATTTAGGAATTTTGGAAGGGATTTTAAAAAATGATGCTTAGATTTTCAACACAAAAATTGCTTAAGTTTGAGAGTAATAAGATGTGCATGATAATTATTTTTATTTGGAGCTCATTTTTTTGTGAAAAACAAGTTTAACATAATGTAAGATACCCACCTCGGCAATAACATGTGCCTTTAATATGATGTTCCCCATTTTTTCCCCAACAGGAGGTGTGTCTTGCAGTGGAAGGAGCCTCATGACAGCACTCTTTACTGCATTCAGACTGACAGGAATCACATGATAGCCAGTGGATCGTCATACTATGGTGTTGTACGTCTTTGGGACAAACGCCGGACTCAGTGCTTACAGGTACCAACAGAATAATTGTATGCACCCCACTGTCATACAAGTTGAGATTTATAAATTAGACTGATTTACGCTGTAAAACAATGTTCAAAGTCTGTGAATAACAAATATTAAACAATGAACTTGTTCTTGCAGTTTTTCCAGCTGAGCAGTGACACTGTGAGCAGCCCGGTGTACTGCCTAAGGTTGAGCAGCTCTCATCTGTTTGCTGCTCTTGCCACAGCCGTGCATTCACTGGACTTCAGACAGAACCCTACTGGCATCAGATAACACACATAGACATATTTTATCAGATTTACCAAACCATTAAATAAATTATTTTCACAGTACAACTTTGTCAGTGTTGTGTTCTGCTTTTTGTTTGCTATTACCATTTACACCCGTCAAGTATGTTAAAAGGAAAACTTCAGTTTCGTTACCCCACTCACACCCATAAAGGTGCAAAAATATATAAAGTATTAATAAGGGGAAAGGGTTTCTCCTTATGGGCAGCACGGTGGCGTAACTGGTAGAGCTGCTGCCTCTCAGCGAGCAGGTCCCTGGTTCAAATTCCGATCCGGGGGCCTTTCTGGGTGGAGTTTGCATGTTCCCTCCATGCATGTGTGGGTTTTCTCCAGGTACTCCAGTTTCCTCCCACAGACCAAAAACATGCATGTTAGGCTGATTGGTAACTCTAAATTGTCCCTAGGTGTGAGTGAGAGACTGAATGGTCGTTTGTCTCGTTTGTCTCTATGTGTCCCTGTGATGGACTGAAGACCTGTCCAGGGTGTACCCCGCCCCTCGCACAGTGATTGCTGGACATGGGCGCCGCCGACCCCCGTGACCCAAAATGGAAGAAGCGTGTAAAAGGTAATGGATGGATGGATTACAATGTACTAACCGGTGTACTTTGGTTTCTAAGTACAGTATACCCACTACAAAAATGTAGACTACACCACTGGTATAAACTGTATACAAAAGTATCTGACAAGTGACTGATGAAAACCAAGAAGAATATATATATATTCACTGTACCTAGGAAGTGGTGATGGTAAGATGAGACAGATGGGTTGATTACATCTGTAAAACAAGACAAAAAGCTAGAACAGTGAAACAGGACTTCAGAAGGCTATACAAAAATAGAAGGAGTACAGGACAACTGTGTTCAATAAAATTTAGTTGCAGCACTTCTTGGAATAAAGTTCTTTAGTTTAAACCATCGTCTACTGTTTTATTACAACCAACACAACAGACTCAAACTGTGACACGTGAGATGGCTACATGGGTCAGGCATGACAGTTGTACAATGATAGTCCTTCAATTAGAAGCTTGAAGCTCATTATAGTCCCCTCAGCAGTGTTATTGGGAACCACTGTTGCTCCTCAATAAGCTCACTGGTGATATCTTTGCTTTTTCTTTCATTGCTCTATAGGCTAGCTTCAGTAAGCCAGGGTCAGAGTCCTCGAAGATCCCGACTGCAGCCGCCATCCATATTACACCTGATCTTTATGACCCCTTCTGCAGGTGGTGAGACCACAAGAAGTGAAACGCATGTGGTTCATTCAGGCTGAGCTCAACTGTGCCCCATGGGTAGTCCTTGTCACCAAGCGCTTGCCGACAAACCCCCTCCCCAAGGCTTGGCTCCAGGGTGGAACCCTGGTAACGTTCTAAACCTTTTTAAAACATAAATGTTTAAAACCACTGATACTGATGTGATTCCAAAAAATACATTTCATTTTTATAAGAGAATGCTGAAGTTGTTTTTGTGAAGATAAAAGAGAACAGAGAATCAAAGTTGTTTTTGGACACAAAGCATGCTGGAACCTGCTACTAAAGTTCTAATCCATCAGCTTGAGGCATTGTGAACTTAAATGGTTAACACGTTCAACATTGTGTGCAGACTCTAAATAAGTCTCAGGGAAACCGTGTGTTCTCTCCTTCCTAACACTTTGGGGATGCTGTCTAGATCCAGATGAAGTCTTTGAAGGGATTAAGGCATGTTAACCTCTTGACAAACCCATAGTGTCACTGTGAAAACACATTGTTGATGTTTACGTGCAGTTGACCCTTCCAGCTGTGATCACACACAGGATAGCCTTGGTGTGTCTGACCTCCTAAATTCACTTTGCACAATGTGAGGATCCATTTGATGGGTCATCAAACCACACATACAGTACACCTGGTGTTTGCACACAGGGAATTGCAGCTGGAGTTCTTGTTCTTCACGGGATTAGTGGCCAGGATTAGTAATTGTCAGAGCTGCTACCTAAAGTGGAACAAGGAACTTCAACTTTGAGAAGATGGACCACAATACAGAAAAGGAAGAATTATGGAAAACCAAGCTCGCTTCAGACTCATCACAACAAATTCTACCCATGCTCTTGATCATGGCAACACAAAAAGGTGCCAAAGCCACTAGATGGTGCGTACCCCCCAAAACGCACATGGCTCACTGACTGCTTGGTCGCAAATACTCCAAATAATCACAGTGGTGCTTGGAAGTTTGTGAACTTTTTATAATTTTCTATATTTCTGCATAAATGTGACCTAAAACCATCAGATTTTCACACAAGTCCTAAAAGTTGATAAAGAGAACCCAGGTAAACAAATGAGACAAAAATATTATATAATTTCCTTATTGAGGAAAATGATACACGTGAGTGGCAAATGTGAACCTTTACTTACAGTATCTAGTGTGACACACACACACAGACACACTTTACCAATAAATAAAACTAAATGTTCCTGGTAACTGTTGATCAATTCTATTCAATGCAAAAGTACAAAATACACAATCAATACGCAGTCAGAGTAAAAAAATACGCAGTCAAAGAACAAAATGCACAGTCAATACACAGTCAAAGTAAAAAATACAAAGTCAAAGTAAAATATACACAGTCAAAGTACAAAATACACAGTTGATACCTAGTCAAAATAAAAAATACACAGTTACAGTAAAAAATAAAAAAAAACAGTCAAAGTACAAAATACAAAGTCAGTACACAGTCTAGATCAGTCCTGCACACTGGCTTGGAGGAATTTTAGCCCATTCCTCTGTACAGAACAGCTTCAACTCTGGATGTTGATGGTTTCTTCACACTAACTGCTGCTTCAGGTCCTTCCACAACATCTGGATTGGATTAAGGTCAGGACTTTGACTTTGCCGTTCCAAAACATGAACTTTATTCTTCTTGAACCGTTCTTTGGCAGAACCACTTGTGTGCTGAGGGTCATTGTCTCTCTGCATGACCCACCTTCTCTTGAGATTCACTTCATGGACAGATGTTCTGATATTTTCCTGTAGAATTATCTGATATAATTCGGAATTCATTGATCCATCAATGATGACAAGCCGTCCTGGCCCAGATGCAGCAGAACCAGCCCAAACCATGATACTACCACCACCATGTTTCATAGATGGGATAAGGTTATACAGGAATGCAGAGTTTCCCTTTCTCCAAACATAACATGTTTTATTTAAACCACAAAGTTCTATTTTGGTCTCATCCGTCCACAAAACCTTCTTCCAACAGTCTTCCGTCTTGTCCACGTGATCTTTATCAAACTGCAGATGAGCAGCCATGGTCTTTTTGGAAAGCAGTGACTTCCTCCTTCAACCCTGCCATGCACACTATTGTTCAGTGTTCTCCTGATGGTGGACTCATGAACATCAACTTTAGTCAATGTGAGAGAGACCTTCAATTGTTAGAAGTTACCCTGCTCCTTTGTGACCATGTCGACTATTGCCTTGCTCTTTGTGTGATCTTTGTTGGTATTATTAAAGCTTCACAGAAAAGTGCACAAATTAATACATGTTTTTGTTGAGCTATATTTAAGTATAGCAATAATTTTAAGTTATAGCATTGATGTAAGTGTCTTCCAGCTTAAAATATATTTCCTTTAGCAGTCACAAATGCTAAACTTGATAATTTTCTGATGTTTTGGGGATGGGTTTGTATGTTCCCTTTTAATATAGCCACAGCTGCACAGGAAGTGAAGTTTACAGTTGACATTTTTGTCAATTATTAGAACTGAGTTGTGGAAATAACAGAATAAAAAGCCTAAATCCCCAGAACTTTTTCTCCCCCAATTAATTTTTTCAGCTCATCCAGGTAGACTCTGAGGCATTCACAATCGAGCCACATGATATGGAGTCTGCCCTGAGGTCTCCACTTGGTTGGGCATGTTTTAACTCAATTCAATTCATTTCAACCTTTATTTAAACAGATAAGTCACATTGAGCCTCGAAGACTCATTTACAAGTGAGATCTGTTTGGACAGACAATAAAAAGTGGAGAAAAATGACACATAGGGTTTGGAGACAACAAAAAAAAATTAATTCCTAACATCTCTTAATCGTTGGTTGAAGGTCAACAGCGTGATAATGCAAAAACAAAATTTGCACATAAGCATATAATGACACTGGCAGTCTGCGGGGGAGCTGCAAGGATGGTGAACAGCCAGAGATAACACACAAAAGCACTGCAGAGTTCAGATAAAATCACTCAGTTCAAATAGTTCCCTCTGGAGAGATCCGTGCACACTTGGGGGGTGCTGAGGACAACCAAGAACAAATCCAAAAGTCCTGAAATGATGACAGAATATTTATTCAGCTGGGCCCCTCTGAAAAGTCCATGGAAATTCCTCGGTAGGAGGAGAGGGAGGAGGTAGAGCATCAAGTTTACAAAACTTCCAGGCAAATTAAGCCAAATTCAGATAAAAACAATTGTTTTGGGGACAGGCAGAACTTTAATAATAATAATAATAATGTCATCACAATGTCAGCACTGTATGTTTCCATACAATGGCGAAATTAGTCTCTGCATTTAACCCATCCACCACCAGGTGGTGCAGTGGGCAGCTATTGAAAGCGCCCGGGGGGCATTTTGGGGATGAGGCGTGCTGCCCAGAGACGCCACGTGATGTGCAGTGACTGGGGATCGAACCTGGGACTTTCGGGTCCCAAGCCGGCTGCCCTGCCTCTACACCATCTCGGCCCCCTTAATGACATCTACCTTGAGTCTGTGTCCATCCACTCGGTTCTGAAACGTTCAAATTACATGGCCACATCAATGAACTGTGCCTGAGAATAATCCCCAAGATGTGATCCATTCTGCCAAAAGCATTTGAGTTTGGGTGCTCGAGGCACGAACCAAGCCATCGTAAGGCAAGCAGCCTGACCAGGTCCAAATTTGCTGCCGACGACTTCCTTGATTGTAGATAAACCAGAAAGCAGGAACCAGTTATCATAAATCCAATTATAAATGTGTCCTTAAAATCCACAAATGACAGCAGAGATAGACACATCATCAAGTCTTCCAAGTCGATGAGATATCCAGCGGCGTGCATGCCA